AGGCCATAAAAATAAATATAGAAATTTAAATGTTTTATTTACATGAACAGTGAGAGCGATGATTCTGAGGAATCATGGAGGCACACCTTCAGAATATTTTAAAAATAAACATTGATTAAAAACTAAAAACACTAAAAAGGAAATTTTCCTAAATTTTCCTTAAAGAGGAAACACCTACTCTTTTACTTTCCAATTATAGAAGAAAATGAAATAATTATGTAGTCTCCAACACTGGTTTTGTGTGTAAATATGAAGATCTATGGTCTTCACAAATAATACCAAAGTAAGTAATCTGATGTGATCACATTTGATTTGATCATATTTTTCTAATCTATATTGGAGTAAAAATATATATGTATCACAGTCTTCAAAAATATAACACCAGTATGTTTTGAAATAAATATTCTGATGAACTTAAAAACTTGGAAATTATATGCTGCTAAAAAAGAGCTTTATAATAGGTGAAGTTAGGTCAGGGTAATAATACAGTGAGAATTAGCTTTCAACAAGTAATTATTTCTCTTAGATTATCACACTTTGGAAACATTACAAGCACCTAGAGCTCATAATAAAATATCATGATCTCAGGGTAGTGAAAAGTAAGTTCCAGAGAGAGGAACAGGTCTGTTCCCATGAGTGGAGATGACCCTGAGTTTAAAGACAGAATATAGAAAGTACAGTACACTCTCAAAGTCAGTGGAGAGCAGACTGCTCCAATAAGGAAGTGTCATCCCAGGGTTAGGGTCTGTCCTTTATGCTAACCCCTAGTAATATGTTAAGCTGGGGATGGAATATTCATGTCTTTTCAGGGAAGTAGGTGGAGATTTCCAGAATCATATGCCCTCCCATTTTCTATCCTTGTATGGCTGGCCCCAGAACTGTCATGGCACTAGGGGGAATGTGAGTTTTACTATGTTAATGAGCAAAAGGTTACCTTTGGTCATAAGCTGCTACCTTCTGCGCATGCTCCCTGTCAGGAAAAGTCCCTAACCTCAAGTTCTTGCTGTTGTGGTTGCTTTTCTTGGTTTTTATTGGTCCCAACCCTCAGCCCTTGACCACATTCCCCCTGTCACCTTCCCTGCCACCTGCATATCCCTCACCTCTACCTAACATCCTGACGAGTATGAACCATTGCCAGAGCAGGAGACCAGAGGTGTGGATGTGCACATGTGTCTTCCCATCTGTTAGGACTATTTGGTTGTTTTTCAACTTTTATGTCT